TATCTTTTCCTAACTTGTATTAGGAAACTCCTAATACAAATTCAATGTGCTTCCCTTGTCTTTGAAACCACAGCTTTGCTTTTTAACTAGAATCAAACACTACTGTGTAAGATGGGAGAACAAACTGCTTGTCTGGAAGGCTCTCTCAAGTTGCTGCCTTAAAAAAAGTGAAATCTTAGTAGAAGAAGGAATTGTATAGATAATCTAGTTTTTCCAACCAACCAACTTATATTTAAGTAAAGAGAAAGAAAAAATGTCCGGAAGATGGAAGCAAGGCCATGTTATAGAAGTTGAATAAGAGATTGGGATAAAGTCTGGAAAAAGGCAGAGATAGGACCTTGGCTAGGCACAGCGGTAGGGGTAGGACAATGATAACTGACCAGAGAGAAAACATTGCCATTCAACTCTTAGTTCATGTTTTCTCTGAAAAGGAAACTCACCTTTAAACTAGAAATAACAAAACAAAACTGAGCAATAGGCAGCTGATATTGAACATAAGGAAGAATAATGTGAGAGAACATATAACAGTCCTAGATTAATCTAAGTTAACCAGCCCAGATGAACTACATGCTTGGGTCTTGGGGGGAAGGGAAAGGTTGAGGTGATTGCTGAGCCATTGTCAGTGATATTTGAAAGATCATAGAAAATGGGAAAGCTACATTTAGATTGGAAAAGGATAAATGTCACAATTTCAACAAAAGGAAGAGAATAGGATCTGCAAAGTATAAGCCAGTGAACTTGACTTCAATTCCTGGAAAAATTCTAGAGAGAGAATCATTGACTAAAAAGAGCCAGCATTGTTTGATCAAAAAGTCATATCAGACTAACTTCATTCCCCCACCTTTTTCTAATAGGATTACTCACCTAGTAGATGAGAGGAATGCTGGGATAAAATATATCTAGATTTTAGCAAAGCTTTTGACAAAGTATCTTATACTTTTCTTGTGGATAAGATGGAGAGATATGGAATAGACAACCAAGTGGATTCATAACTGGTTACATGGCTGAACTAAAAAATTATTTATTAATGATTTCATGGCAACAGGGCAGGTTTCCAATTGAGTAGTCCAATTATCTGTGCTTGGCCAACATTTTTATCAATTATTTGGATAAAGTCATAGATGAAATGCTCAACAAATTTGCAAATGACTCAAAGCTAGTGAAGATAGCTAACATACTGGATGATAATCAGTATTCAAAAGAAACTTGATAGGCTAGAGCATTGGGCTTAAATTTAAAAAATGATGTTCAGTAGAGATAAAAGTAAAGTCTTGCCCTAGAGTATAAAAAATTAACCCCACAAATATAACATGGGTAAGGCATGCTCTTGCTGTTGTGGTTCAGTCATTTTTCAGGAGTGTCTGACTCTTCTTGACACCATTTGGGATTTTCTTGGCAAAGATACTGGAGAGGTTTGCCATTTCCTTCGCCAGCTCATTATACAGATGAGATTTACAGATAAGGCAAACAGGGTGAAATGACTTGTCCAGGATCACACATCTAGTAAATGTTTGAGGCTGGATTTTGAACTCAGAAAGATGAGTCTTTCTGATTCCAGGGCTAGAGCTTTATCCACTACACCATCTAGCTGCCTGGGGACACGCATAGTCAGCTGTTATTCTAAATTGGATCTGGGGTTTTAGTAAACTGTAAGCTTACAAACCAGCAGTATGATGTGGTAGCCAAAAAAGCAAATGCAGTCTTGAGCTGCATTTAGAGGAGCTTCTAGACATAAGGAGGTGACAATCCCACTGTGCTTACATTTGTGTATGGTATTTAGTCTTGGGCACCACAGTTGAAAAAAGACATCCATAAGCTGGAGAGTGTCCAAAAGAAAGAATTCAGGATGGTGAATGGACTTGAGCTCATGACATTTGAGGATCAGCTGGAGGGACTGGGAATGTTTAGCCTAGAGAAGAGGCTGTAGTAGAACAGGAGAGCTGTGTTCAATTGTTTAAGGGGCTGTTTCATGGAGGATTGGGTCTGTTCTGTTCGGCCCAGAGAGCAGAACTAAGGGCAAAAGGTGGGAGGTTCAAAGCGGCAAGTGTAGTCTTGATGTCAGGAAAAACTTTATAGAAATTAGAGCTGGCCTTGATAGCTGGTGATTTCTCCCTCCTTGGAGTTCTTCTTTCAAAGACTGGATGATCATTTGTAGAATATATTAAAGTATGAATTCCTTCGTTTATGGGCTGGACTAAATGGCCTCAAAGGTCCTTACAATTTTCGAATTCAGTAATTTATCCTATGTCCCCATCAAGAACATCCCTCTACAATGTCCTTGATAGGTGGTCATCTAACCTTTGTCTAGTGATAATGGACTTACTGCCTCAAAGGGCAGCCATCCTGGAACAACACTCATTATTATTACTATTACTAACAATCTTGACTAACATTTCTATAGAACCTCAAAGTTTACAAAATGCTTTCTTCACATTAACTCTGTGAAGTATGCAGTAAAGTTATTATCCTCATGTCACAAATGAGACAACTGAGGTTCAGAAAGGTTAAGTGACTTGTTCAGAGTCACCCAAAGTTCTTCCTTACATACAGTTGAGATTCATCCCTTTATAACTTGTCTCCATTGTTTCTAATTCTGTCTCCTGGAGCAACACTAAGCAAATCTCCCTTCTCTTTCATATGATAGATATCCCATTCTTGAAGACAATTGAGTATTGTTTAATTCACCCAAGGCTTCTCTTTTTTCCAGACTAATCAAACCTGGGACTGTTCCTCATGTGACATTGTTTCCAGATTCCTAATACTTCTGGTTATCTTCCTCTGGAAACTCTAGCTTGTCCCTGCTCCCTTTAAAAATAACAATAATTGGTAAAATCTAATGTTTATATTTAATATATTTATATTTATATGGCACTTTAAGGTTTACAAAGCACTTTACAAATATCTCATTCTATCTTCTCAACAGCTCTGGGAGGTAGATGCTATTATTATCCTCATCTTAAAATAAGGAAACTGAGGCAGATGGAGGTTTAGTAATTTGCTTAGGGTCACAGAGCTAGTAAACATCTGAGGCTAGATTTGAAGTCAGGTCTTTCTGAGTCCAGGGCCAGTGTTTTATCCACAGAGATGCCTATAGTGTTCAGAAGTGGAAAAATGTATTTTAGGTATGATCTAAGGAGTGAACAGCAGAATGGACTTTCCCTTGCCTGGATCATATACATCTCTTGTAGTCTAAAGTTGCATTTGTGGGGTTTTTAATCTTTGTTTGTTTGCTTGTTTGTTCATTTGTTTGTTTTTGCCAACACTATCATACAATTGTTTCATGTTGATCTTGTATTAACTACTCCCCCACCCCAGTTCTTTTCAGCATGAACCCCAAGTATATCTTTCCATTCAGTTCTGCAAGCATTCCTTAAGCACCTACTATGTACATGGCCCCTTCCTCATTTGCTGGGGATACACTGACAAAAATGAAATTGTCCTTGACTTTGGGGAGCTTACATTCCATTTGTATTAGAGGAATAGCAGAGGACTTACCATGAATGCACAGATGAGTAAATGCCAAGTAATCCTGGAGTAAAAGGCTATGGCAGGGAGAAGAGGAACCACTCAGGGGAATCCAAAAAGACCACTTTGTGCAGTTGACTCTTATTTGGATGCATTTTAATCCTTTATTTATCTCAACTTCAAGGGGTAGAGTCTGTCCACCCCCATCAGGAACATTCCCTGGTAGGCTTTACATGAAACAGGACTTAGTTAATGCCAAATTAAAATGGTACTTAGAACATGGGAACTGGATGTTGAGATGTACAAGCCTGAATTCTTCTCCTTTCTGAGATTTGCTGTTGTCTCCTTGGTCAATCACCCCTCCTACCACCCGCTTTTTTTCACATGACCTGATGCCCCCCTTATATCTATCAATTCAAATCAATTTTAACAAAGTGTTATTAAGCACTTGCCATGTGCAAGATAGTTGGATGGTAGTTATACAAGAAAGAAAGAAAGAAAGAAAGAAAGAAAGAAAGAAAGAAAGAAAGAAAGAAAGAAAGAAAGAAAGAAAGAAAGAAAGAAAAGAAAAGAAACATCCCATTTTTCTCTCTGACTCTATTTTCTCTTCCATAAAATATAGACCAAACCATCTGCCCCTTTTGTGTCACTCAGGAGTCTTACTGGAGTAAATAAGTTCATGTTTTATAAAATTCTTTAGGAGAAGCTGCTATACTCGATTCCATTCAAGTCAATAAGCATTTATTAATCACCTACTGTATCATGTGTAAGGCACTATGCTATGCACTGGGGATTCACAGACAAAAATGAAACAGTCCCTGCCCTCATGGAGCTTGCAATCTACTGGGGGGTAGAGAGGAAATATATCTACATATATATGTAAATTCAAAATATATGGAAAGTAACCTGTAGGCACAAAGGTGGAAAGAACATGTTGACAACTGGGGAGATTGAAACAGAATGTAGGAGAATGAAAATGAGTAGAATGAAATAGAATGAGCTGAGCCTTGGAAGGGGCCAGGCATTCCACTATAAATGAAGAGAGTTATTCCAAAAAGAAAAAAAAGGCAGCCATTGAATATCAATGTTTATTTTAAAATATTCTGTTGCCTGCTGCACTGTGGTGGATATTCATTAATTAAGTCATCTTTAAAATCAATGGCAAGTCAAGCATGAAAAATGCCTGTTCTAAATGTGGTGTGACTAGTGAAAATCAAGTGTTGTCAAACGATATGATGTGTCTATAGTTTCTGGTGACTACTTACATGTTTAGCAGACAATGACAGTTATGTCTCATATGAAATCTCATCACGCTCATGATGTGACTTCTATGACATGCCCATCCCAGACGAGTTAGTGTAGTCATTTAAACCTATAGTTGTGGAATGCTATATGTGCTTCATAAATGCATACTGATATTTCTATAGTTTATTTGTGACCATTTGATCTTTTTTTCCTCCTTTGGTGTTTGTTTGTCCCTGTAGAACTGACCTGCAATTTTCAGTGTAGACAGTGAACCTTAATCAATCCAAATCATGGAGACTAACCAGGAATCATCCCTCTTCTTGGTGAAGATTTTGGAGGAGCTAGACACCAAACAGAATACAGTTTCCTACCAGGACCTTTGCAAATCATTGTGTGCTCGATTTGATTTATCTCAGCTAGCCAAGTTGAGAAGTGTGCTGTTTTATACAGCTTGTCTTGATCCAAATTTCCCAGCAACTTTATTCAAAGACAAAATGAGATGCACTGTGAACAATCAGCAATCAAAGAAAATCATGGTGGCTGCTGATATAGTAACAATATTCAACCTGATCCAAATGAATGGGGGTGCAGCAAAGGAAAAATTGCCTGCAGCACGACAGAAAGTTAGGAAGAATGAATCATTTGAATCATGCAGGTCTGACACTGAGATATGCAATGTGATAGACTGTGTGCCTCCTAATTGTGAGCCGAGAGATAGAGAATTTAACCGGGGCTATTCAGCAAGACGATCGTTGAAGTGTAGGAAGATGGACTGCAAAGACTGCCAACAATTTGTACCTGCCTCAGAGCCTAACTTTTTGTTGGGAGTTAACAAGGAGACAAAAAGTCGGGCAGCTTCACTTGACAGGCTGCAGGCCCTGGCATCCTATTCCATTGCAAATTCTCAACCATGTGAAATGCAGAGCACTTATTTTCCCATGAACATTGAAAATGAGTCTATATCAGATCAAGACTCCTTACCCATGAACCCCGGGATGAAAGAAACCTTCATTTCCAATGAGGAGCCTTTTGTGGTCCAGTCCTGTGTGCAAAAGAGAAACATTTTTAAAGAAGATTTTCATAATCTGATCACAGTATCACCGAGCTTAGTGCCCCCTGGCAAGAAAGCAGACGATGTGCTGGGAGAGCCGCAGACCAGAAAAGAAACTCATAAGCCAGCCTTCTTTAATCACAGCTTTGAAATGCCATACAATAGCCAATATTTAAATCCTGTTTACTCTCCTGTCCCTGACAAAAGACGGGCAAAGCATGAGAGCTTGGATGATCTCCAAGCTTCTACATATTTTGGACCCACTACAGTTCTAGGGGCCCAAGAAGGGAAGAGGTGGTCAGGAAGGCCAAGTAAGCAGACTGCCTGGCCAGCAAAGAGCTGGAGTTTAAACACTGAGGAGGTTCCTGACTTCGAAAGGTCTTTTTTCAATAGGAACCCAAGTGATGAGAAACCTCGATATCAGGGTTCAAGCAATCAGCCTTCCAATTTCTCAGCCCCAGACAGGCACCAGACATACCTAAATCCAAAAGATCAACAAGCAATCATCCCCACAAGCTATGCAGTGAAACAAAATGTTCACAAATCTAAAGAGATTCCCTCTCCCATTGACATGGAGAAACACGAGCCCATCAAAAAGTTCAAGGACAAAAGCATTAACTGTACCACGGTTCAGATGAGCATTGACAAAACGAGCAGTGTGGGGACTCAAACTGACCAGCACATTCTGGAGCTCAAGAAATGTAAAGATCTGTGTACCTCCGGTCAGAGCAAGTATGGAGAAAGACATTCGATGAAGCAGTCAGATGAGGACTCAGAAATCGTTAGTGATGACATCAGTGACATTTTTCGGTTTCTGGACGACATGAGTATCTGTGGTTCCACTGGAGTGATACAGTCCTCTTGTTACAACAGCACTGGATCCTTATCGCAGCTAAATAAATCAGACTGTGACAGCTCACCTGAGCACAACCTAGCCAAAATTACCAGTGGGAGCACTGGCAATAAGATAGACAAGGGGGTCCGATCTGAAAAGGACAATCCTGAAGATGAGTTGAAAACAAGCGTTTGCAAACTAGTGCTTAGGATTGGCGAGATAGAAAGAAAACTGGAATCTCTGTCAGGAGTTAGAGAGGAAATCTCTCAAGTTTTAGGCAAATTAAACAGGTTGGATCAGAGGATACAGCAGCCTGAGAAAGTCAGTGTACAGATCGATCTGAATTCCTTAACAAGTGAGGTTCCATCTGATGACAGCACCTCTCCCCAAATATTCCATCCCCACAATGGCTCACACGGAAGCAAATTGGAAAACAGTCCAGACTGGTGTTGTTCTGATGCTAGTGGAAGCAACAGTGAAAGCCTTCGAGTCAAGGCCTTAAAAAAGAGTCTGTTTACCAGAAGGTCCTCAAGGTCACTGACTGAGGAGAATAGTGCTACTGAGTCCAAAATAGCAAGCATTTCCAATTCTCCTAGAGACTGGAGGGCGATCACTTACACCAATGAGGCTGGCCTCAATGAAGAAGAGATAAAAGACAGAGGAGCTGCAGAAAATAAAGACTGGCACAGAAAATCAAAAGAGGTAATTTCAATTTAAGCTCATGTAATCAATATTGTAGAAGAGCATGGACACAAGCTATAAAATATTCTCAGCTTGTCTGAAAGTCCAGACATTACAAGGTACCCCCTCCCTTTTTGCCCACTGCATTTCCATCTGGATTTAGCCAATCTTCTACTTGCTGTAGAAAGCTCCTTATAGGGCTCAACAGAATTGAGCTGTTCTTGACTGACGGGGTCAGTCAGTCACAAAATGCACATGCTGGGTTGTTGCAGGCAGAATATAATTTGATCCAAATGTCACACATGATCTGGAACCCCAAACTCTGGGTTGATAAATATCAGGTTCAATTTGGGGCTATTTCCCATCCAAATCATATCTCTTTGGCTCATTTTGTCTGTATCCAGAGTATCCCCTGGGAATCTCAGCTCCCTTTCTGGATCTCTCCCTGATAGACTCTGGCAAATCTCCCTGAACCCTTTTATATGCCCAGTGCAAAGAGTTGGCTCTGATTTGCAATAGTCTTAGCCAACTGAATCATCCCCCTGCTGAGACATAATGACAGGGTGGGGGTGGGGTGGAGAAGCACGGTACAGTGAAAAGAGCACTAGCTCTGAAGTCAGAAAATCTGAGTTCAGATACTGCCTCTGATGCTATGTGACCTTGGGCAAAACACTTAACCTTACTCAGTCTCATTTTTCTATCTGTAAAATGAGGGGAGTTAACTACATAGCCTTTGAGGTCACTTCTAGCTCTATGACTTATCTAAGAGGCACAATCAGGATCCTTATGCATAATCAAAATCCTAAACAATGACTTAATCCCTTTAGCCTCATGAAGTTAGTCAAGAAAGTTACTAAGTTATTAAGGATGTCAAGAAAAGCCCACCTGTGGTTGTTGCCCTTGAAGGGCTTGTATTCAAATCAAGGAGACCACATGCAAAAAATTATGGGTGCCAGATACACGCATAGCTGGTTGGTAACCTCAAAAAAAAAAGTAGAATTGTGGGAGGGGGTTAAGGAAGATGGGAAAGCCTTTCTGTAGAAAGTGAGATATCAGCAGAGGCTTGAAGGTGGTCAGAAGGCAGAGGTAAGGAGACAGAGTATTTTTCTGATAACTATTGGGAATAGGCTGGGTCATGGCAGATGGCCACAAAATAGACAGTATGTTAAAAGATGCCAGAGCCACCAAAGACATGTTTAAATCCTTTTGGCAAAAGTAAGATTGCTCTCAGGTGTCCTATTCCACCCTCACCCCACCCCAAAATCCCCAAAAAAGTTTAAATAAAGTGAAAACCTATTAATGTTGTGTGAACACTTAGGGAATGCAGTTGATGGATTCCATATGGATTCTATATGGGTTCCATATAGGACCACCTTACAGCAAACTTTTTCAATTGTTTTCTCTCCTAAAGGCTCCATATGTGGACAACCTACCGAGGTTCACATTCCTCTTCTTTCTCCCCTCTTTCTTGATAGCAAAGACTTGTTCACAGAGCCATGCTAAACTTTTAGTCAAGATTCATTCTTATAGAGTCCCCCTCCAACAACATTCATTTTAGATACTGTATAGGGAACCCCTTAAGTTGATGTTTCAAATCTAATATGCCTTTCTTTCAAAAGGCCAGACAGCAGCACCTACCCATGTAAGGATGAGAGGTCATTGCTCACTGATAAGGAGGCAATGATGAATAAACTAAGAAAAGAGGGGAGGATACTGACTGAAACTAGGAACCATTGAATTTTGAAAGGAAGAACAAGGAAGAACGGGATTTGTGAAATGGCCCCAAACAGAGAAGGGAAACATTTGGATTAGGCAGTATCATAAGGAAAAAAAGAACATAGAAAATATTGATGTCATCAGAGTGTAATATGATTCCAATGGAACTTTGGAAACCATCAATGGAATAGATGAGTATATATAAGTTCTTACACATTTCAAGATTACAGTGAAAATTAAAAAAAAAGATTGAAGCAATATAGTACCATAGAAGGAATGTTGGAGTTAAAATCAGAGGGCCTGGGTTCAAATCTTGACCTTGCTGCTAACTACATGTGTGATCTTGGGTAGTCACCAACAAGCATTTATTGAGGGCCTACTATGCACCAATCATTGTGCTAGAAGCTGGGGATACAAATATAAAAAAGTAGATAGTCCCTGCCTTTAAGGAACTTACATTCTTTTTTCTTATTTTATTCTAATAGATTTTTATTGGAACCTTTTGTTTTTTTACCATGTAGATTTCCCCTCCCCCCTCCCACCTCTCCTCCTTCTCCTCTTCCTCCCAAAGACCCATCCCTTAACATTGCAAAGCTTACAACAATGATTTAAAAAGAAAACATTCTGCAAAACCATTCAACACACTGAAAAAATCTGTCAGTTATGTCTTGTACACCTGTAGTCCTTGACCTCTGCGAAAGAGAAGTTTACATTCTAATGGACATAGACAACATGTACCAGGAGTGGTGGCCAAAGACAGATGGTTTGGCCTACAAAGTCACAGGGGTTGTGAGTGGAGCTATAGAGTAATAACATATCCTTGCCAAGAGTGGTAATATGGATTTGACTTCTTTTCCCAGATCAAGAGATGGAAAGTGGGGGGTGGGGTGAAAAGGATATGTCTAGCCAACTGGCTACAGATAGTGAATTCTTTATCAATCAGGAATTCAGCAGCCCACGGTGGGAGTTAGGATGCTTCTGAGGAGGAGGAGGAGGAGGAGGAGGAAGGAGAGGAGGGTGGAGCCCAGTACCTCAGCAGGAAGATAGTACAACATGGAATTTCTGAAAGATAGGGACTCTGAGACTCGGAATCAACACATGGCTATTAGTGGCAGAACCAAATGTTCTGATCCAAGGCCAGTGCTATTCTTTCCATGACAATCGCATAACCAAACTCCTCTCCCTCTCATCCTCACACCCTTTCCTGTCTGTCTCTGTCTCTCTACCCCCTCTTTCTCCCTCATCCCCCTCTCTTTTTCTCTTTCTTCCCTCTCTATGTGTAGAAATAGAGACGATATTGTTTATGTGTGTAAATATATACATATAAATCTATTTAGATATGGAGAGAGAGCTATACCCGTATCTATTTTAAAATTTTTCCTGGAACCTTGCTGTGTTACAGTTTACTATAATGTGGGACTTGGTGTATGCATCATAAAAATCACCAGCCAAAAGGAGGTAGAAATTGAAAATAGCAGAAAAATCTTGTTACAAAATGATCTCACCTAGAAACACCATCCATAGGCATGAACCCCAAAGACATTACAGTAAGAGCCCATTCTTTATAGATGATTACACACAAAACTGAGCGTTACAAATTTCTCCAAAGGGAAAACAATCATTAAGTAAGAGAAGTACAGTAGGTTTCCAAACTTTGCAGCTCAGTTTTTTTACCTTCAGTGATGTTTCCTTGGCAATTTTATAAAATAAATATGTACAATTTTTTTTTCAGAGTAGTGTTGCTGTAACTGTGGTGGTGGTTGTTGTTATTGTTTTTCCTCTGGGGACGTGGGGGAGGGCATCCTGGTTAACATAGCTTCAATTTTGAAAAGCGAAGCTATATCCCCTGAAAGTAATGCATCCGTAGGCCCTTCAAATCATCTGGCTTTTCCCCCCTGGGAATTCTTTTGTTTCACATTGCAGGCAGACAGACAATATGAAATTCCTCAGCCCCATCGAATAGCTAAGCAACCAAAAGATGGTTTCTTGGTGGAACAAGTCTTCAGTCCTCACCCCTACCCTGCGTCACTCAAGTCACACATGAAAAGCAACCCAATGTACACAGACATGAGACTGACCGAAATGGCTGAAGTAAAGCGAGTCCAGCCCTCTTGGACCATAGAAGAATACACAAGGAACTCTGGGGAAAAGGGGAAGCTGACAGCTCTGGATCTCCAGGTGAGTTTTGTGCCTATTTTGCAGGAACCACCCCTTCCACATACCCACAGATCCTTAGGCAGATGTTGTAGTTAAGAATACAGACAGGGCTCCTGCAGTGGGTAGTAAGTCACTACCTTTTCAGCCCACCCTAAGGACTTTGATATATAAGGACTTTGACCCACAAGCATGTGTTTCTAAACTTGTCCGAGTAGTAGAAAGAAAGAGGGGAAATACATATGCAAAATCAAAGTGTATTCAACCATGAGAATGATTGTTTGACATTTGCTTAGATAAAGATTTGTTTGAAATTCGAGCATAAGCCATGTCAAATACAGTGTCTAAAATATTTGATCTCAAACAAACTGTTTAATGAAATACAAGCTGATTTCTCCTTCCATATGTAGAACGTGGGATAAACATATTTTTGGGACCCAACATATGGATTGTATCTCCATATGGAGCAGTTCCGAGGTAAGAGTCACCACCAGAACTCTATGTGTGCAGTCATAACTTAAGAGGCATGTTTTCCATGTACTTACAGGACCAGTTTTCATTTTGGTGGGCACCTTTCTTGGCACCTCCAGTTAGTTTCACTCACTCCCCAATTGTCTTCTCTAACACATCACTGCAGGAGCAAAGGCGCAGCTATGCCCTCAAAGTACGCGATAGGCCGTGGAGCCAACGGGGCTTCATCCACAGGGGAGTGAATGAATGTCCCTGTTTAGTTGCAGACACTGGAATGGAAGCAACCAAGGCTCGCACTGGGTTTTAGAGACCCAGCCTTTAAGGTTGGTTTCACAAGGCCCACATAAAATAAGGGGAATCTAAAATTAAAAGGTTTAAATGTGTTGTGAAGTAAAACTAAGAGGATTTATCCATTCATTCAGTAAACATTTGTTAAGCATCTCCTTTGTGTAAGGTGAAAGGTGACACAATGAAGTGAAAGAAGATTGGCCTTGGAGTAAAAATCCTGGGTACAATTCCTGCCTACTGGTTATATGATGGGGAAGTCACTTAACTCTTTTGAGCCTCAGGCAACTCTCTAAGACTAGGTGTTGCAGATGAGTTGTCAGTCTGCAGCAGTGATGAGCATTTCCATACCAGAAGATCTCGGGATTCATGAAATTTCCCATAATGTAAGGGGTAGTAATGCTAACTCTAAATATTAAATTGTTTAAAGAACTTTTTTTTAAATATTCAGTTCAGAAGTAGAGAAGCAAGGGCAGGGATCATGAATCAATTATTTTTGATCTTCCCTCTCATCTCTCGCTCCCCCCCCACTCAGTGACTCATTCAGTGTTCTGTACACAGAAAGTGCTTAATAAATGTTTGTGGATTACCTGAGGTAGGTAATAAGTAAGGATCAGATGATATCTTAAAACTGACCTTTTTATATTAAACCAGAAATATTTCAAAACCTCTTTTTATTGTCTAAGTACTGTGCAGTTTTATATTTATCGTGACTTCTGTGTATATCATGTCCCAAGTGTGTATGTCATGTCCCATCATCCTTCTAGCTGACCCTTCAGGTGAGCATGCCAAAGTTTTGGACTAGGTAAGAATTGCATTCTTTCTTTGGAAGGTTTCTTCTATACTTTAGTCTCCTGGGAGGCCTTTTGGCACGGTGGTAGTCCGGTCAGTGAACCTTACCCCTAAGTCAAGGGAGCTGGGTTCCGATCCTGGCTATGTCACTCACTAGACCTGAGATGTAGGGCAAAGCATTTAGTGTCTGTGGGCCTTGGTCTCCTTAGCTATAAAGTGAAGGTACAAACTTGATGACTTTCCAAGTCCCTTCTGGTTCTAGAATCTTCCCTTCCTCTACCTTCTAAGCATAAAGAAGCAGGGAGAAGGGTGAAAAATTGGATGAGTATTAATAGTATATACATCTATAGCACAGAAGGGGATGAACCATCAGTACATGGTTTATGAGATGCTTTACATACACTATTTCATACGGTCTTCAAATCAGCTCTGAAATAAAGGGAGCAAGTGTTTATTCCCACTTTATACATGAGAAGACCGAGACTCTAAATATAACTCTTTCTACTTCATTAGCATAAATAATGTGCTGCGATGATATTGGTAGTGATACTAATGAAGCATGTGGGCCAGCCAGCAAAGTAAATGAAGCTTTGCAGGTTTGCAACTGCATCAAAAGTTAGGAGAAAAGCACACTACCATAATGTGCCTACTTCTTTGTGTATGCCAAAGTGTAGACCCTGCTTTCATTTGACATGTCTAGGCATCAGCTGAGTTATTCTTGCCTATATCACTTGAAAAAAATGTTATTAGACATGTGCATTGTGTGCAGTTCTATCCTGTAGTTAATTGGGTCATATTCCTTCATAGATCTTACATCTCCTTGGTAGCATATGTACCTTTTGATCTGGGTTTTCGAGGGTTTATGCCTTAACCCTAAGAGGTGATTCCCTAGGGGGAATTTCAGTTGTGTTAGAGAGTGAATATCAGAGAGGTATTTAGTCAGGTAGTAGCCCTCAAGTCATAACTCACCAGAAGTACCTACATGGTAGAGCCTACCCTACATTATCTCTGTAGCTCATTCTCATTCTCTCTCTCTCTCTCTCTCTCTCTCTCTCTCTCTCTGTCTCTCTCTCTCTCTCTCTCTCTCTGTCTCTCTCTCTCTCCTTTAAAATCTAGAAAGGAAAATCAAGCAATTAAATAATCAAATGCATCCCCTCTCATATATCCTATGAGAATATAGTCAGATGGCATTGAAATTCAGCTCTGGTTAACCAATAATGAAATATACCCATGATTAAACATACAAGATCACAGGACTTAAAGATGGAAGGGACCTTAGAAGCCATCAAGTCCAACCCCCAGCTCTAATTTTAGGATGAGAAAATAGAAATGCAGAGTAGGCAAGTACTTTCCCAGGGTTACCCAACTCTTAAATGTCTGAGGTGGGATTCAAGCTCAGTTCCTCAGTTCCCCTGACTCTAAATCCAATGTGCCCTTTCTTCTGTATCATGCTCTTTTCCAGCACTAAAAATGGCCATGATGTCATTTATGACAAATCATTCCATTTTCATTTTTCTCCCTATAATTTCCATGCCTCACTAAGACAAAAGTCCAGATTCCCTATGTATTTCAGCATGAGCATTCATAGGTAAAGAATCATATGTTCATGTAAAAGATAGATGATGCATGCTTGCCAGAAAGAATGACACATACCATCAACACCTCTCTATTTGTTGGCCTCCTTGAAAAAGCAAAGTCCCAGCAGCAAGTTTCTGACACTACTTGGTTTTTCCTGTATTCCTTTTTTCAGGCACCTGATTCTGTTGAGTCACCACTTGACCAGTACTGACAATAATTTTCAGTTAGCCAAGACTTCCATCAGATAGCTTGTTAAGTCTAGGTATGGGAGAGTGTTGATTTCTTCCTTTACCACAGCCCCATTTCCAGATTTTCAGAGCAGTGTGGATGTGCTATCTTCTAGTCCATAAGATGTACTGATGGGCCAGTCCCTTATAGTGTCGTGGTAATGAAGTTAGATATCAACCTAGCCTGCCTTGGATGGAAAGATAGAGGGGATGTAAGAGGACAACCACAGCTCCATAACTCTCAGTGATACCTTTTGTGTTGTATGATAGCCAAGCTACTGGCCATTAGATATAGCAAGGGTGGGTGGATGGGGTGTTGAAGGAGTAGTGGAAGTCATTTGGGCAAACTATTTTTATGGATAATACAACACCGACTTCCAAGGACTATTGAAAGATGATCATTGAGAAGCATTCTGTTACAGATTAATATTATTTTTTTGCTCCTGCAGGAATGTGTGGGACTCTAATGTGCCTCTGTTCTTGAGCATGAAAAAAAACAATGGCCACAATGCTGTCTTCTTTCAAATACAGGAACAAACAACCCCTACCAGCCCCCAAAATGGAAATTTTGGCTTCTGAACTTTAGTTGAACATCAATTAAAAGTACAAAAGAGAGCTGCTTCGATTTGGCTTCCATATATCATAGAACTGTTACCATGAAATAAGGAAACTGCCCTGCTGTGTGTGAGAGTCCTTCATGGTTCAAATTATCCATTTAAAGTGGAATACACAGGCAATATCAAAAATGAGATGCCTCCTTAAGTGTTCATTAATCTCAATGAAGCCAAGAGACCTGATGTTATTGATACTTCCTATTGGGGAAAGATAAAAGGAATTTTTAATCATAGCTAAGACCAGACTGGAAGGGGAAATTTATCGATTAACCTGAGAGTACAGGGTTTTCTAAATAATCATTCAAACAAATGGTACTGTCATGACTTTGTGGTTGCATTCAATTCTGCCTATGTAAAAGTATAATGCAGTCAAGAGTTCTGGAGTATCACAAGACCTGGTTTCTCTAGTTTTGGCTCTGTCAGTAACTTACTGTAGGACTTTTACTCTATGAGTCTGTTTGCTCATTAGCAAAATGAGAATTTGAGAGTATATGATCTCAGAGATCCGTTCCAGCTCTAAGATCCCAGGATTCACTTGAATTGTTTAGTTATTTTGTTGTTGTTGTTCCAGCATTTTACAAGGAGGGGCCTTTGATTTTTCAAGAGAAATGTTTCCTAAATAGTACAGAATGGCACAATTCTTTTGATGATTTTAATTACATTTAATTACTGGCCTGTTGGCCTAAAGACTATTTTCCTGTTTCTACTATGTCCTTTCAATGGGCATACTCCTGGTGTGAAAACCTTCCCCAATGTATTATATCAGTGGGAATAACAGGTATAGATGGATTTCTGATCAAATATACATAGTAGGTTTGCACTTCACAACATTTTACTTGTTTGCAGAGATATGGCCAATGCGTTTTCATGTTTCAGAAAATTCATGGCATTTGTGGTGGAGGGAAGAGGGGTAAATGTACTTTGTGAAGTTGTAGTGAATGGATGGAACGGTTTGCTTTCTAACTAGGTAGCTGAGGGAGGGGGCAATGTTAACTTGTTTAATGTCAGTATCAGCTAGTTGCAAAACTAACATTAGAAGTGCCAGGACTAACAAATGTCAACATGTTTTGTTTTGTTTTTTAAACAATTCCAAGTACTTATGTTTTTGTTTGTTTGTTTGTTTTTTGTCCCTTTCACTTTTAGACTCAAGAGTCTTTAAACCCAAATAATTTAGAATACTGGATGGAAGATATTTATACTCCAGGCTATGATTCATTATTAAAACGTAAAGAGGCTGAGTTCCGAAGAGCAAAGGTCTGCAAGATTGCTGCCTTGATTGCGGCGGCTGCTTGCACAGTCATCTTGGTAATTGTAGTGCCCATTTGTACAATGAAGTCATGACTCCATGATGAGGACCAAGGACACTGGACTTTCTACTGTACATAATTCCGGATATCTCCTTCTGTATTTTCCCATCTTGTGGCAATACAACAACAATTTGTTGGAATAAATGTGCTATCATGGTGGTTCTTCTGTAAATGATGATGATTTTCAAGAAAGTCTACTTTTAGAAAGAAATACACCTATTCAAGTCAACTCAGTCAAAATTTTTATGCATTTTTGGAAGTGCAATATTTTTCCTACCAAACAATGCAACATTTTAGCAGTAAAACATTGAATTCCAAGCAAAAAAAGGAAAAAAAGAGAGTATGCATTTGCCTCTTGTGATGTTTTATTTTTGTTTTGTTTTGTTTTTTTGTTTATGAGGGTGGGCAGTAGCAATTGTGTTATATTGAAGACATTTGATACGTGTCTCCTTGGGGAGGCCAGGAGATATTAAAATGTAAAGAAATATGAATGTATTGTATTTTTACTTAGTCATATATCTATTGATTATCCAACAGAAGCAGGTTGTATATCCGTAAAAGGACTTTACTTCCATACTGAACTTGCTAAAGGGCTCTTGATTATTCATTCTTGCCCTTCTACCTTCATTACCATCCATGTGCAAATTCTTTTCCACTTGGCAGATCTCCACTTTATTACACTGTGCACCCCTCTTGCTTCTGCTCATTATTGATTTGTGAGAAGGGAGAATAGGTCAATTCAATCAGGGTCTGGCAGGAAAATTCATCCTGGAAATTTACTTGACTAAAGCACTGAGCATTGTAGACTGACACTTCCCCCCTCAACACACACATACGTACGTAAATACATACATACACACACACACACACTCACATACACACATATATATATACACACACTCAAAAAATTGTGTTTAATAATGTCTAAAATGCTATAATTACTTTCATTTTTTTAAGTAAGATTAGAACATTATGGATAGCAAAGGATGAAATTCCTTTTTTAGCAGGGGCAATGAGCATCCATCTTGATGATATTCCTCCTACTTGGACCCCTCACACTATTTTCCTTACTAATGTAATTTAGAGAGGTTAGAACATATCTTTCTGCCTCACGGGATTGAGATAACAGTTTACTTCTCATATTTTCACTGCATAAAATTTTGATGGAATGCATTATGAACATCAGCAGTTTCAAATTTTTTTCATATTGTTTTCAATGCTTGCCCAATGGTATAATTCTGTAATTGGGAACTGAGGTGTTTCCTATGCCCTCTTCGTTTTCTAATTTCTGAAGACATGCTTACAGTGCATTATATTTTCTGATAATTTACTCAAAAAATATCATAACTCTAGTATACAGAAAGCTCCCATCAGTATTTTATCTCTTATAATTTGGTGAATAATTTAGTAATCTTAACTGAAACAATCTTTCTAAAAATCAGATTTCAAGTTACATAGTTCATTTTTTTTACTATGAGGCAATTGGGGTTAAGTGACTTGCCCAGAGTCACGCAGCTATTGAGTGGTATGTGTCTGAGGCTGGATTTGAACTCAGGTCCTCCTGACTCCAAGGCTGGTGCTCTATCCACTGCACCACCTAGCTGTCCCACAAGTTACATAGTTTAAAGGAAAACAAAGACTAAAAGAAATTTTAAAAAATAGTTCTTTCCAATCACAATGGATTATTACAATTTTTTTTGTGTGGAGAAGGATTGCCTATTTTTGTACCAGTAGGAACTTAAACACTCATCTTATAAGAACTCCAAAGTAATTATATATAATTTCACATATTTAACTGCATATCTTGGATATGCCTTACATACGGTAGGAAGGTGCTCAGTGAATATTACATCAATCTATTAACACCTTAGAACTGGTTAATTTACTACATGGTTGAACTTTATTTTAAGAAATAGCCATGTTAACTCTGTTTGCAAAGTCACATTGCTGGGCTTTGTTAGGATATTGAAATCTTCATATATAAAGATAAGCATTTATGGATTGAGACTGAAAAGGATTAAAGTTCTGCCTATAAATAGAAATTGCCTAATTTTTAAATTCATCTCATCAGTGTCTGAGGGTTGTAGTATTTTAGTCCGAGCCGGACACAATGAACATTTTTGTCCTTCTCCAACCAAGGAGATCAATGTATTCGCTCCTGTTGAGATACAGAAATGGAAATAAACCATCAGGTATGATTTCCCCATCCCTCCTCACTCAGCTTTCAGCCTCAGTCCCACAAGTTTCTCCTTCCAAAACGAAGCCAGCATGGAGACAAGAATAGCCAGCAGCCTGCGTTCTTGTTTTGTGGCTTCCAATTGAGTAGAAAAGGCTACACCTATCTTCTGAGGCCATTTTTATCTCTACTTGGCCAGGTGTAAGATCAACAGGAAAGATGCCATTGCTTCTTTCTAGAAATTCAGCTCTTTTTTTTGCCCCCTCTTTGGGGCTGCTTGAAACCTATATGCACAGAGCAATGTGGCTATATGTCTCATCCTTAGAGGCATAAAAGCCGGCGATAACATGTGCCTTCTCATGTGTGTTTGCCATGAGAGAAGCTAGAGAAAACTGGACTGATTATTTACTTCCAACATAACCTCTGAAAACAAAATTTAGTCCCATTGATAAATAATAGACAATTCCATACCTGTTAGTTCCCCTATCATAGATTTAGAAAGCTAAAAGGGGATTATAGAAACCATCTTTGCCTTCATTTTGCCAATGAAGAAAATGAGACCTGTAAAAGACTTGAGTTGTTCAAGGTCACTTAATAAATTTCAGAGCTCAGATTTGATTCCAGGTTCTCTGACTCCAAATTCAGCATGTTTTTCACTTATGAGAATGAAACATGAGAAAGGCTTTCATAGAGCACAGAGCCCTTTGGGATCAGATTAGATCAACCTGGCAAATATCACCAAAGCAAATATTCTTTTGTCAGGAGGTCATTACAGTCAGACATCCATGCTAATGGATGTGAGGCGGAGAGCCCCTGTATCTGTAAATGGTGCATTTTGGGAACTTGGAATCTAGTGAAGATGAGGGAGGGGATCTGCTCTTGTCTTTCCTCAGACACAAAGCTTTCTCCTAGCACCACATTTTTTGGCTTGTGAGCTCTCCCAGGTTCTCCTCCATTCCTTCATTTGCAGGGGAATGAGGCCAGGACACTTTAGTCCTGTACAACATTGCTGAAGCCCATTCAGCATCTCTAAACTGAGATGCTTTCCTAGGTGGTTACTCAGCAAGTTGCCGTGGTGTTCCGTGTCTCCTTTGCCATCCCTGTATAGCAGGCACTGTACTCTCTGACACTTTTCTAAATGATACAGTTAGTTCACTGTGCCTGAGGATTGGTATCCTCATAGCAAAATTCATGTAATTCCAACCTCTCTTAATATTGGGTCACCTTTCTTGGATGTGTGTGTTAAGTGTTTTAAATAAATATCCAGATGCAATTGTATGCGAAATATACGCTAAAAAACAGTTATTCTTAGTCAATGACTAAATTCATAATCATTTCATCTTTCTTTGTAGATCAGTTTGATTTCAGTTGTTTTTTTGAATGCAGCCTTGCAGATAAGCAAAAAATATTACCAACTCACACCTTTAAAAAAACTCTTTTTGTCCTCCTTACCTACACTCTCTTCTTTTCAGATTACGCAGTCTGTGTAACAGAGTGTAATAAACAAAATTGGCATCTTTCCCTACTAGCTGGTCATAAATTATTGGTAGTTCAGGGCATGCTGCTATATGACTTTCTGCAAGGCTAGTTTAATAGATGTGCTTCAATTCCTAGCTTACATGTTTCATGGCTTACCTGTAGCAGACTCCAACAAGCAAGGATTCTGTTAAGTGGTGCAATAATTCATGAATATGTTGGAGTCCTACGTTTGACACATAGTAGGTTCATTGTGGACAAAAACCAACCTACAAGAATATTGTGGTCAATCTTGTGAACTAATTACCAAATCAGTATATACTGTATATTGTAATATGGAAATCTGTATAAAAAGGAAAAGATATTGGTAATCTTTGGTGTGATTGGAAAAAAGTGTATTAAACAATATTTAATATTTAAGTAATAATGAAAAATGCAATGAACTGGTTTTTTTTCTTATGCCTTATAAACAAATTGATATGTAAAGAATAAAGTGAACTTATAAGAATGAGGACTTTTAAGGAATGTACATCCTTTGGGAGGCAAGGACTGTCTTTTATATGTTATATACAGCACTAGGCACACTCTCAGTGCTTAAAAAATGTTATATAATACCAATAACTGAGCACATTTTTAGATCTTTTTCTTTCCAAATGGTGAACATAAAATTTTGCTAACATACTATGGTCAGTTTGAAGTTACCATGTAAAATTTGCCTCTCTGAATAAAATAGCAAATAAACTTGAAAATTACAAACATTTTCCAGTGAGGTATTAATACACATATGTTTTATTCTTTCATGACTTTCTTTTTCCCAGGGGCAACAAGATATTCTCTTTGTTAAATAAATAAATAACATATGTGGTTTGTCAGGGATCCAGCCAACACTGATGCTTCTGAAATAATGAGGTGGAACATGATGAAAAAAGGATTAATAATATTTTTGTCTTAAATTCCCAAGGTGTTACTGAACAGCCTTAACATCTCAGCTTTAACCATTAAAGAAAAGTTATTATTTTGCAAATTACCCTTTGCACATCATAAAAGGCAGACAACATTTTGTCATCTGGACATGTGAGTAATAATCATAAAGGATCCCACTATAGTTTGCAGAGCCCTAAAACAAAGGTATAAGGAAGCATCTTGGTTTCGTGGGAAAATTTCAGTACTTCAGACCTCACCAATACAGAATTACTTTAATTCGGATTCTATTGAATTTTGCCTTTGCAATATTTATAAAAATTTGTTAAGGAAATAAATATGTAGAAAAAAAGAAAAGAAATACACAAATGAGATCACAGGAGAGATACTTAGCCTATATTTTTTCTATTAATGATTTCATTAATATAGATAGTGTCTAGTGTGGAAACTCCCTCCACTGGTACAGATGGGAAGCAGAAGCTCATCTGTAATTTAGTTTTAGTAGAGTTTCCTGGAAGCACTGAGAAGGTATGTGACT